CTGAGATGTCTGAAATGTGCCTATCACACTTGCTGGAAGAATAAGCAGGTTATGCTTAATTGCTCTCATCCATCTTCTGCCATGGTGCAGTGGAGAGATGGGGGTTATTCTTCAGATAGTGCTTTTACCTTCAGAGATAATGTAATAGCACCAAAAGTCACCAAAGTGTGTGCCTGAAGTCCTGGGGGCAGTGTTGGGCATCATAATTTAAGACCTAAAACAATTGGAGAGATCCCAGAGGAGGCTGTGGAGATGGTGAAGGATCAGGAGAGGCCAGATGGTGTGGCTGGGGGCACTTGGTGTGTTCAGCTGGAGCAGAGGACACTGAGGGCAGAGCTCAGCAGGGGCTGCAGCTCCTCCCAGGGGCAGCTCTCATCTCTCCTCCCTGTGATAGACGAGGTTCAGGCTGAAGATCAGGGCAAGGTTCTTCCCCCAGAGGTGCTGGCAGGCAAGGTTCTTCCCCCAGAGGTGCTGGCACTGCCCAGGCTCCCCAGGGAATGGGCACGGCCCCGAGGCTGCCAGAGCTGCAGGGATGCCCAGGCTGGGGGTGCTGGGGGTCTGGGCAGGGCCGGGAGCTGGGGCTGCATGAGAACCCTGTGTGTCCCTTCCAACTTGGCATCTTCTGTAATTCTGTCAAGTGCATCCACTTTTCTTTTTTACCCCCTGGAGTTGGAAGGTTGTGGTGCCCTTGGGGATGGTGGGTGCCGTGCTCTGACACGCTCTAACCGTGCTCTGCCCTGCAGGTCCTGGCGCAGGCGATCAAGGCTGCCAAGGAGCAGCACCCAGACATGTCGGTGACCAAAGTGGTTGTGCACCAGGAGACAGAGATTGCAGAGGAGTAGCCGGGCTGTGTGAGTAGAGAGACCACCTCGGGTGGGGGCAGGGGGTGATTGATCTCTGTGCACAGGAGATTTGGGTAAATAGGGCCAGCGGAAGTAAAATGATCATTGTTCTCTGCCCAGTCCTGCTCAGGCTGTTCCTGTTAGATCCATGGACGCTGATGAGGCAGGCAGCCACACACAGGCTAATCCTGTGGAAATGAGCCCAAATGGGTTAAAAGCTACACAGCTCCTGCCCTGAGGCTACTTTGCCTTCCCAAACATCTGTGATGTGCTGGGAGCACGAGGAGCAGCTGTAGGTGCCACATCACCTGCCCACATCAGTGCACAGTAACCCCCGAGCTGGACACCAAACTTGCCTGGAAATCCTATTTTCTGCATTTTTTGTCAGTTTGGGAAGGAGCTGCTAAAGGAATCCAGGAGCTCTGGCTGTGCCTCAGTGCTTTAAAGACCATCCTACCCCATGCCACTGATCACAGAATCCTGGAATGGTTTGGGTTGGATGGGACCATAAAGCTCATCCAGTGCCACCCCTGCCATGGGCAGGGACACCTTCCACTGTCCCAGGCTACTCCAAGCCATGTCCAGCCTGGCCTTGGGCACTTCCAGGGATCCAGGGGCGGCCACAGCTTCTCCGAGCAAACTGTGCCAGGACCTCAGCACCCTTACAGGGAACAATTCCTTCCCAATATCCCATCTTAACCCTGCCCTCTGGCATCTTTGTCCCTTTGCTCCAGGCCCTTGTGCAGAGTCCCTCTGCAACTCTTCTGGAGCTCCTTTAGACACTTCTTACTTGCCATTGGTGATAACTCACCTGAATTCAGTTCCCATCCACTTCAGGGAGATTGAGATTCCTGCCTCTTCCAGCACGCTGCTGTTGGTAGCTGTAACTTCTCCTCTTCCTCTCTTGTTAGGAAACATTCCTGCCCACAACAACGCCAGGAAAAAGAAACCCAGCAAATCTACCATGAAACTACCTGGAGCACAAAGACCTCGGATTTCAGACTTGACACTCAGAGACATTCATATCATATATTAAGAGTTGTGCTTTTGACGTTTTACTTGGGATTTTTCCAGACTCCACTGGATCCTATTGGATATAGGGTTTTGTTTTGTTGTTTTGTTTTTTTAAAAATATCTATTGTGACAGAAATATGCCATATTTCTAACTGTACTGAACATTTTTTACAGGTTTTCAATTTTGCATTTCCTCTCACACAAAGCCTCTTCAGACACAGAATCCCACCTCACAGGGCTCCAGGGCTCCCTGTTTTAACTTGTATTCCCTCTGCCTCGTCAGGGATAACAGAGCTGTATCCGTGCACATTCCCAGTGCAGGATCCGTATGCGCCTTCACAAAGCCATGTGTCCTTCTTCAGGAGAGTCAGTTTAAAGAGTCAGACTTTGTGCAGCATTTCTGATTGCCTCTGGATTATTTTTGTAGCTCTGGGGAGCTCCAGCCCCACTGCAACCCCTGGGCTGCTCTGAGCTCCCTCCCCACTGGTTTCCAGCCCTGGTGTGTGATCACAGTAGGGTTTTGTGGTGTAGCCTATGCAAACATCGGAATAGTTGACTAGATTTAAGGAATACTGGAAGTTGCTTCAAGTATCTTATACTGTGAATTTTAGAGCTTTAAGAGGACTGTGATAGCATCTCGCCTTCTTCCCGTGTGTCTCTGCTGAGTGCTCCCCACCTGTTCGTGTTTCTAGATACCATTAAATTAAAATGCCCTTAGAAGTGTGTGTTTAAGGTGTTTGGACTCTGGATGCTATTGAGGTAGCCTTGTGAAGCATTCACAGGAACTGAGCTTGTCATTGTTGTAGTTTTTCACTTGTTTGTGTTCATGATTTTTAAATTAGGGAGGGTTTTTTTTTGGTAAGTCATGGGTTGGTTTTTTTTCCTCCCCTCACAGTGCTATTTAAAGCTGAACACGTTACCCATTTCCCAGAGAAAATATCCTACTATCATTTAATTTAAACTCCTTTAGACAATCCTTCCTAGGCCTGCAAGCTGTATTTGGAGAGACTGAACAAGGAATTTCAGGAGGTATCAGGTGTTGCTGGTTGTGATAGAGCCAAACTACGTGGGAAGTGTTGGCATTGTCTTCCACGCTGGCCTGAGGGTCTGGGTTTGGCTTCATGACCCCCTTGCTGGAATGAAATATCAGGGTGATTGTCTGAATCTTGAGGCTGATCTTACAGACCCCCAGGGCCATCTCCAGCACAGAGGGGGTGATGTAAAAAGATGATTTCAGGGGCTGAGTGTGCTCCCACTGCTGCTCTCTCAGCTTCATGGGCATGTTCTTCCCTGCTTTGTCCTTCCACTTTTTAAATTCAAGATTCAAGAAGCAAAAAACCAAGCAAGCTCTGTAAAGAGTCTGCCCAGACACTTGTGAACACTTTAGTCCACTAGAGGTTGTGATTTGATTTTTTTCTGTATATATAACTATACACACACACACACACATATATATATATATATATATATATAGTGTGTGGTACAGTGGTAGCTGAGGGCAGGGAGTGCTCTGCTCCTCAGGATGGGAAGAAAATGGCAATAAAGAGAAAAGCTCTCCAGTTTTAAATTTGAATAATGTATTTCAGAAGCTGTGGATTTAGCTCAGGCTGCAAGGACTCCACTGTTTAACTGCAAACAGCTCTGGAGCTACACTGGGGCTGATGCAGCTTCTCAGCTTCAGGTGCAATTTTTAATTAAGCTGTCAGTATTGATTGGAGACTGCTGGAGCTGCTGGGTTTTGGCTCTCTTTGAGCCTTGCTGGCCCTGGGTCCTGCTCAGCTTCCAGCCTTCCCGTGCTGGCAGCTCCTCTGGTGCAGGGCCCCCTCCTGGGATGCTCTGCCTTCCTCAGGGCATCGTGCTCTGGGAGTTTAGGGAGTCCTGGGCTGTAGTGCAGAGATTAAGTCTTCCTATCCTATATCTGAAAAGCCCTTTCCTTCCTTATTCTGCCCCACGGGCCCTGGAAGGGGTCTGTGTTTCTGCTGTCCTCAACTTAGTCAGGTATTGCTTGCCTTAAACACTCATCATGCTGGGCACCCTCTGGCACTGCCCTTTTTCTGGGAATTGAATTCTTTGCCACTCAGTCCTTCCTTCTCACATGGAGCAGCCACCTGAGGAGTGAAGGGGCACGTGGAGCAGTGGCTGAGAGGATTTCTGGGCTTCACCAGGCAGAGCTAAAGTGGTAAATTAAGTTTGTCTATAGCACTTAAAGGCACTTGGCTGTCAGAGAATTCAGGGGAATGTGGTCCCTGGGTGTTCCCTTGGGCACGATGAGTGGGACAGAATCCCCCAAGCAGGGGATTTCTGGGGTGAGAAATCTGCTGGCAGGAGAGGTGGTTCATTTCCCAAAGGATGTGCTTGCTGTGGCTGCAGATGTCCCTTGTTAAAGGGCCCATAGACCAGAATAACCCTATTTTTACTTTTTCCCTGGATTTTGGGTGGCTGATTGTGGCAGGCTGTCCATCTTCACACTTCCCCCTGTTGAGTTCTTGCTTCTCCTGGAGAAATTCAAAGAAGTCATGGCCTCTTTTGCCCTTTGCCATCACCTGCTGTCTGACCTCAGGGGTTCCCAGCCCCGCTCCTGCCAACGCGGTGCCCGAGCCCAGGAGCTGGACAGGAGCCTGGGAAGAAGATACAAGTAAAAAAAGCAGAAGAAGCTTCTCTCACCCTCAGCCAAGGCCGTGGTGGGGCTGCCCACTCCCACCTCTGCTGGGATTTAAAATCCTTGGCTCTGAGTGTGCTGTGTCAGCTCTAGGGACAAACCAGCTAAGTAAGGTCTATTTATATGAATGTTCCCAGCTCTTCCCACTCCACAAATTCACCCAGAGACTGTCTTGATTGTATAATATACATTATATGGAAGCTATTTATATATGAATGAATGTTTTTATAGAAAGGAAGGCAAGGAGCTCCTGTTCTCCTCCATTAAACTGGAACAGCAGCTCCAGTTGCCCAATAGCAATCCCTGACCAACAGAGATGTGTTAGCAAAGGACTGACTGATTTCTGGTTTTAATAAACTGTGGTTTGCTGATTTTCCTAATTGTACAATTACCTTAAGAAGTAGTAGTGTCCCAGCCTTAGAGATGAAACTTGTAAAAAAAGACAAAAAAAAAAATTAGTTGAGAAGATGAAGGAGCTTTGTAAATTTTTTTTAAGGCAATTGTGAATTGTCTAGGTTAGGTATTTACACTCTTTATAAAAATAGGAACTTTTAAAGTTGGCAAAACTTTCTGGATCAACTAGTGATGGGAGCTGTTACTTTGGATTTTCATAGCGAATCAAAGGGAAAGTTGCCATAGCATTTAGGCAGACCTAAGTGTTCAGTATTGCTTCTTGTATTGCATTTTTCAATAAATTTTCAAACAAAACTCTCCCCGGTGCTGAATTCTGTTCCTCCTTCTCACCTTCCTCCAGGTCTCTCTCCTTACCCTGGTGATGTGATGACTTGGTTTCACCAGCCTAGACCCAAGCCCCCAAATTTGGGCTGCCAAAGCTCTCCCAGTCTTGGGCCAGCATTTCTCTGGGCTCTTGGTCCCTTCAGACCTTTTACACAATTCCCGTTGTGGTCACATGCAGGACCATGGCCCCCAAAAGAGCCAGAAGCAATTCCCAGAGTTCAAATTTGCCCCAAAGAAGCATCACTTGATATAAAACCTTCCTTTGAGTTGTGGAATTTGTGGTGAGCCCAGGTGAGCTCTGCTCAGCAGCTGCTGCCCAACCCTAAGTGAGTGTGACTCAACTGGAGTGGGGGAAAATGACAAATCCAGCGGTATTTTGGTCCTGTCTCATTTTTTTCTGGCTGCAGCAGCTTCAGGAGGGACAGAAATAAGGCACGAAAAGGTGACAGGGCATCTTGGCTGCAGGTCTGACAGAAACAAGAGCCAGATGACCCTCCAGTAAGGGAGACTGGAAAGTGGCTGGGAAGAGCTTTCCTGGGGGCAGGGGCAGCCCAGGGGCTGGCTGTGGTCCCTGCCTGTGCCTCAGTTTCCCTCACAGGCAGAAAGAGAAGGGTGGCACATGGCATGTTGTGCTAAAAGCTCTGAGTTAGCATTGCTGCAGACACAGCCATCACCTCTTCTACCCTGACCCTGAACAGTTTGCTTCCAACTACAAAACCTCAGTGTCCTGTAAACCCAAAATTACCAAGGAGCCTCAGAAGCTGACGTGAATGCCACAAGTGCTGTCCCTCCCAAGCATCCCACAGGCATTAGGAGGAGTCAAGGCAGGACCAGATGGCATCCAGATAATATTTAATAGCCCTGTTGGGCTTACGTGCTCTGGCCAAGCAAATTTTCTGGTGGGTTGAGGCTGGACAAGGGGACACCACCCCCCAAAGCATCTCCCCACCCCAACCCTGCTGAAATAAAGTGCTGTGGGGACTGGTGGGGCTTCACCTGCCTGCATGTCCCCATCCCACAATTCGTGTGGGGTCTCAAAGCGAGGACTCCTCTGGAAAAGCCACCAGGAGAAGGGCTTGTAAGGCCAAGGGCATCCACTGGGAAGGACATCCCACCCCCTAGGCGAGTCCTCCCCCAGGAGCGGAGGGTCACAACCTTCCTCTTGGCATTGGCTTAAAAATGCTGCCCCCAAACCCCTCCTGCTGTGGGGTTTTGGGGTGGCAGGTGGGCACTGGGGGCCAGGATAACAGGCTGGGACGTTACAGTCCCCAAAGGGACATCAGACCCGTGTGCCATGCTCCATCCCCACCACCCAGGAGCTGGGCTGGGGCTCGCCCCGGCTTGGGGGCTCGCTGGGCTCCAGCAGCCGGTCCGAGGACTCGCCGGTACTTTCCAGTTTGGCGTAGCCCACAAGGCTGACGTGGTCCAGTCGGGGCCAGCTCCGGTTCTTACGGTCCTTGATGGGGGCCACCAGAAGCACTCCTGGCTGGCCAAGGTCCAGGGATTTGGAGTGTCCCGGGGTGTGGAGGTGCACGTTGGGGCTGAGCTCTGCACCGGGGCTGCTGTCATGGTCCATGCTGATAACAACGTGGCCATCACCACCACTGCCATCCTGGCCACAGGCCGCGGTGCTGGCGCCGATGGAAAGCAGAGCCGGGGAGAGCTGTGGCATTTTGGGGGGATGCTCAGCAAGGCCCCTCTCTGCCCTCCCTCCGGCACCCTGCCTTGCTCCATCCAGCAAGCAGTTGTTGAGCTTGATGATGGGCAGTGCCAAGGCCCCCACGGCCGAGGACAGGAGGGACTCGGCTCCAGCGCGGCACGGGAGGCTCAGGTTGACCTCGGTGGAGCGGAGGCTGTGCAGGGAGGCCGCGGGGGAAGCTGCTGGGTGCTGCAGGAACTCGGCCATGGTCTGCAGCCGGTTAGGGCCGTAGCAGTCAGACCACTTGCTGCCGGGGCCGGGCTGACAGGACAGATCCACCTGGTAACAGCCCTCCACACACTCGGCGTTGGCCTTGGGGAAGGGCTGGCTGTCCCCAGGCTGGCAGTGCCCATCCTTGGGGCCGGGCCCCTCGGGCAGCCCCACTGCCATGCCGTAGAGCCCCTTCTGGATCAGCCGCCGGGTCTCCATGTCCCTGTTCTCGTACAGCATCGTGTTGGCACAGATGAAGATGAAGAGCCCAATGCCCATGATGACGGGGCCGATCAGCTTCAGCTTCTCGCTGTGGGGCACGTGGCGTCCGCCCGCTACTTCCCTCCTCATGTCCCCCGCCGCACTGGTGTTCCCTGCAGTGGCCCCGGTGCCCCCAGGTCCCCGGTGAGGCCAGTAGCCCACCACGGCAATGGTCATGCCCACCAGGACCACCAAGATGCCCACCATGACGAAGGCTCCTGCTGGTGAGCGCATGCGCAGCTGCCCCTTCAGAGGGGGCTCCGTCGGGGGCTTGCGCCGCAGGCGGCGGCCCCGGTGCCGCGGGGGGACGGGGGGCAGCGGCACCTTGGCTCCCCCCTGCTCCAGTTCCCGCATGGGCCCGTTCGATTCGGTGCTCTCCGCAGTCATCGTCCCCGGCTCAGCCGCAATTCCTGCACGAGGGGAGGAGGAGAAGGTGAGCAGGCAGCACTGGGGGTTCCTTGTGCCCAGGATGCTGTAGCACGGGCACCACAGGGACACTGGGAGCATGGGGATGCCAGGAGCACACAGCTTACATCAGGCAGGGACCAGCAGCTTTCCTCTGCCCCATTGCTCCCTTCTTTCTTCAAGTCACTTCTCTCTCCCCACTCAGGAGTGAAGGGCTGAGGAGCCTGTTCCAAGCACACTCCCAAAGCCCCAGACTCATCCCACTAAACCCCTGAGCTGTGCAGGAAGCAAGGAGAGCTGGGACCCTGCTGTGCCACAGCCAGCACAGAGCCACCACTGGCATCGGGGCCCAAGGGACCTGTCCTGGGTCACCCCAGTCCTGTGACACCTGCAGAAGGTGCTGTCCCCAACCTGCCAAACAGCGGTGAGGGAAGGGGTGATTTATTCATCTGCTGGGGAAACTGAGGCACCTGGAAACCCAAATGAAATGTCTGACACCTCCCAGAGCCCTGTGAGTGATGATCTAAGCAGGACCTAAAATCCTAAACCAACATCAAGCCACTCTGAGATCAGACGGCAGGACCCACTAATCCATGGAGAATTTAAGCTAAAAGAGGTGTTTTTCCCAATTTTCTGCTGTCTCCTATTTCCTCTGACCAGCTCAGCGCAACCCTAGGATGCTACCCACAAACACACCAACATAAAACTCCACATCTAGGGATTTACAGGGATTTACACTGCATGCTGTGTCATTTTATCCAGAACTTTATTTCCTAGATGAGCAAAAAGGTGTGGAAGCTGCTGCCCAACACAGAGGGTAAGCAGCCTGGCAGGAAGCATCAGCCGGGCTGGCACCATTGTGCCTGGGTAAGTGGAACCCTGGGAAGCAAAAACAGGCCTTGAACAAGTCCCAGACCAAAAACATCTTTAAAAAAAATAGAAATAAGCTCATGCTGATAGGAAACCACGTCCTCACAGCGCGGTGCTGCGTGCCCAGCCATGGCTGGCAGTGAGGTATGGACAGGACGGGGTGTCTGTGCACTCTCCTGTGTCTCCACACAGAGACACTGTCCTGGCACTGCCAGCATGGGAATTCTGCCCAGGCTGTTCCCAAAGGAACATCCCAAAGGGGATGTGAGCAGGGAGAGCTGCAGGGTGGCCTCCCAGCCAAGGGATGCTGTGGGAGGGGGCTTGTCATCCCCACTGCATCTTAAACTGTCAAGAAAAGCATTTGGACAACACAGAGTCATGGATATTCAGCAAATCAAATCCAGAAACTAAACCCAAGGAGAGCCCTGCAGGAGGAGAGGGCTGACCACTCCAGTTTTACTCCCCAAGATGAATGAAGTGCTCAGAGCCAGTGACCAGCATCCAAACAGCACAAAAATACTACATTTTTTTCCCCAGTTAATCATCTTAAGGTGTTATTAGTATCAGAGGGAAGGAATTAAATATATGAGTTCCAGGATGACAGCTTGTTCCTGGCACAAGGCTGTCTGGCTATGACAACTCAAGTAAGGGAGATTCAAAGGGAAAAAAAAAAATAAAGTCCCAAACAAACCAGACCAAACCCCAGGCCACTGCTGAGAGCGGTGTTAAGGCTTTCTGAAAAATAAGTTGGTGATCCCACATGGCAAAGGGGGAAACACAATAAACCCAAAGTAATGTTCATCCTGAAAAATGAGGTTTTGAATATTTTGAAATTAAAGGGAAACAACTGGACACTCAAACACATCCCAATGACTGTGGGATTTTTGCCTCCAAATGCCCTGATTTAGGTTATGTCTCAGTTTTCTCTAACTGCCATCTTAGCTTCAAACTCTCTTAATTTTTATAGAAAACCCTTTAAATAGCTTGCCAGCTCCTTAGGGATTAAAAAGAGAATGACCCCCTACATTGCAAGAGAAAGCTTTTGGACACTGACCGGAGGGAACATGACCTCAGCTCATGACCCTAAACTCACACTGCACACACACCAGCATCCCCTGTTTTACTCTGGAGCCTCAGCCATGTCTCTTTAACCCCAGTTCCTCTAACCTCTCTGACCCACCCTGTGGAATCAGCGTCCACAGAAGCATCCCTGGTGTCCCACCTGTGGGAACAAAGAACATTCCACGGGGACAACAAGCTTTGCTGGGATGCTGCCTGTGAGAACCACGAGCACCTTCCAAATCCTGCTTGTGAGGAACACGTGCAGCCTCTGGATCCCATCCAGGGCAATGCTTTGGGCTGATGTTCAGGGGATGTTCACCTGCTGCTCTTGCCACACTTTTGCACTGGATACAGCCTGGGGTTCATCTCAGGCTGCTCGGGAATGGCTGCAGGAGGATGAGAGGCGCCCACCCACACCACATCCACAGGCTGCAGACCACGCTGGGGCTGAAACAATCCCCTCCCACCTTCTCTCCTCTTCCCTGGGCACAGGGATGGAGGTGCTGGCAGGAGGGACAGGCAGATGCCACAAATCTGGCTGCAGGCAGGGAATCCTCTCTGTATCCCGGGCTACTATTCCTCCCCACTGCTGTGTTCTGAACTTGGAGCGTTTCCTTGCTCATTGCTGGGGCTGGTTGTTCCCAGAGTTCAAAACCATTATTTTTATTAATAGAATCCCCAAGGTTATATAACCCTTTCAGAAAAAAGAAACTAAAAAAAAAAAATACAAAACCCAGCGCTGCCATTCCCTCCTTCGCCCCGCAGCCGCCGACACTCCCGCGAGTGGAATAATCCCAGAGTGGAGCAGCGGCTTCAGGCACAGCTCGGAGCACAGGACGGGGCTCCTGGGGGTGCTGCCGGGCCAGCCTTGGCATCCCTGGCCACCTCCGTCCAGCCCCGAGGCATTTGTGGCTCACCAGGAGCAGCCCGGAGGTTGCGATTCCCGATGGGAATGAATGACACTATGGAATGACAGTAGGGACCTGTACACGTCGTTCTGGAGCGGCGTGAGCACTGCTCTGCTGCCAGGTTAAGCTCCCAATCCCCGCAATAAGCCTGACACTAAAATAAACCCAAATATCTCTCTAATCCCCCCATCACGAAGGCACATTGCTGGCTCCACACTCCCACCTCAATCCTCTCCTGCTGCCTTCGCAGACTGATGCTCTTAAAATTTGACACCAGCTCCCAGTGCAGCTGACAGCAGCAGAGCTGAATTTGGGGAGGGTGCCTCCTGCAGCTGGACCCTTACATCCCCTGGGTGTCCCTGGGATGCTCTGCCCCTGCCATGAGCACACTGCCAGCTTGAATTTGCAGCATCAAAGGCTATCAAAAAGCAGAATTGGCCTCCAAATCTCCCTCGGGATGAGGGGCTGTACCTGTGTCTGGAGGTGCCACTCCAGTCCTGTGCTGCAGGAGGTGCCACCCAGCTCAGTGACAGCTGGAGATGCAGAAGTGCCATATGCAAAGGGCCAAGTGCAGGCGGCTCTGAAGGCCTTCCCCTCGCAGGTTTATCCCTCTTGCCAGTTATCCTTCCAGGAGCTTTTCATTTTCCTTGGCTCACACCTGGAAAGAGCTTCACTGCAGGACAGCGCCCACCACGCTGAAGGGAATTAAAATCCAGCATCTCCCTAGGAAGAGTGTTCCTGTTGCTGCCATGTCCCATCCCAGCCTGCCCAACCACGGAATATGATCCCATTCTGCAGCCAGGATCCCACCCTGTGGGTCCTGTGCAGGGCAGCACCCTGGGAGCTGGCACAGGAGCAGCCCCCGCTGCAATGAGCACCCAAAAAATGCCCAACAAACAGAAAACACCTCCGCTTTCCTTTGCCTCAAGTACTGTGACTTTAAAGATGCTCTCCTGATTTTGGAAATAAACTAGTTTTACAATTTGCTGCTGAATCAGCCAGCAAAGACTGCAGTGTGGTTAAAGGCCACAGGGATGGGCAAGACCCCAAACCAGGGGGAATAGCCCCCTCTGCCTCATCCAAGCCCTGGGGAGCCTGTGACATCCAAGCCCGTGGTAGCTAAGCTCTCCCAAATCCCTCTCCACAAGGAAAGGGGACCCAGGCAGCCAAGACCTTCTGGGTATGAGGCTGTGTGGAGCTGCTGGAGCCCCCCAGCTCTCCCACCCACCAGGAAGGAATGGAGAATGGGAATGACAGTCTGCGCTGAGATGTGATGCTTAAAAATAACTCCTTTTCAGCCCAACCTCCAACACCGCCCCCGGCACGGGGCAGGAGGGGACCACAGGAGCAGTACCCAGGCACCAGCTCCCCCATCCCACCTCCCATCCTGGCTGCAGGAGACTGAAGCCAAGGCCAGCAGGGGAGCAGCAGTGATCCCAGTGCATCCCTCATGCTGGATTCTCGGGGTGGTCTGAGCCCTCATATCCCAATCTGTGCAGTGCCTCCTCCTTTTCCCAGTTTTCACTTCAAGTTCCCCTCCTTAGCTACACGTAAAGGTCTCCAGAGAGAGGAATAGGAGAAAGATCTGCCAGACATTTGCAGGGGTCTCCCAGCTGGAGCAAACCCTGTCACCACTCCAGCACCCACTGGCAGCTCCCAGTCTGGGCCCATTCCCAAGGAATAAAACCTCCCTGGATGAACATGACACAAACATGTTCCCAATGTGGTGACAGAATCTGTGGCTCCAGCTTCAGCTGGGGACACTCATTAATCAACCATAATTAATTAAGTTCCCTCATAGAAACTTCTATATAACCTCAGTAATGCTAATTACCACAGCATGGGAAGGATTATTCCCTTCCCAGCAGGAATCACCTTCTGGTCCTGTACTGGGAGTCTCACTGGAGTTGTGACAGATTTCCACCTTTGCTGCAGCACAGAAGATCTAGGGAGTGACAACCCAAAGGTCAGAAGTGCCCTTGGCCTGAGTTTTCCCAGGTGAAGGATATGAAGGGATGGAGGTTAACACAAAACCACCTCCACCAAGCACCTGTCAACAGGGGCACCACCCCCACACCTGGCCCGGCTGTGGGGCAGCATCGTTCCAGCTTCCCATCATCAGATCACAGCTCCCAGACAGCGTCAGGAGCCACCACGGCACTCACCTGGAATGTGAGCCAGGGAAAGGAAGATGGTGCTGGGGTGATTTAGGGACACACATCAGGAGAGGGTCCTGATGGGCAAATGGGACATGAGGAGTGAGAGCTGCCAGTGCCAGGGTAGCTCCAGCTCCACCTTGACTTCTCCAAACTCCTCCCTGCTCCTAAAATACGGGGCCATGCTCTAAACTCCTCTCTGCCCCTCAGGCAAAAGAAAGTGTGTGGAAACGTCCCACTGATTACTAATTACCAGAGCTTGCCTTACCCAGATTTGCTCTGCTAATTAGACTAATCCCCACGGCTGGGGAAGGAGCCGCAGACACCCATGGTGAGGGGCTCAGGCAATCTGGATGATGTTTAACTCTGACAGGTCAGAGCCCTGCGATGGGATGGGATTGTCACTCCCAGCTGCTTCTCACAGGCCATTGTTTAAGGAGACAATGAAAATCCGCAAAGTGATGTTTCTCCCCCAAGCCAATGCCGAAATCAGGACATCTGCATTGCTCAACTTTTTTGGTAGGAATGAGATGCAAATAATTAATAAATCTAAATTCAAGATAATGCAGACATCTAAATTTAAATGGGGAGCGGACTTCTAACGGCGACCCTTGGAGGAGGGGAGGAGTGAGGGTCCCAGGGGGATTTCCTGGAGGAATTCCTGCCTGGGGAAGTGGTGTGGGGTGGCGGGGCACCCAAGGATGCAGTCTGCGGCCAAGCACCTCGCAGATCCTCACGGCCAAGAGAAGAGGAAGGAGAGGCTGGGATTTCCAGGGAATTAGGACCAAACTCTTTCTGAATTTGGCACCTTCCCTGCTGCTCCTTTGAAAAATCCCTGCCAGCACGGAGGCGGGAGGGAGGGATGGAGGGATGGAGTCCAGGGGCTGCCCAAGGTATCCAGGGGTACAGACACACAGCTCCCACCTCCAGCTCCACAGGCCCGCACCCCACTCCACCTGCAAGCAATTAAGTTCCCAGCTGTAATCCCAGCTGGCATCACTTTTACCTCCAGCTTTTTAACCCCCATCTCCACTACTTTACCCTACAAAAGACACACCTCGCTGGTCCCACGAGCAAGGATCCAACCCCGCTCAGAGATGAGGCAGTGGTGGGTCTGGCTGCGGTCGCTGACCCCTCCGTGCCACAAAGCCGAGCCCCTTGTGTGCACAGACCCTCCCGACCCCAAACTCCAGGCATCAATTCCACCCACTTCTCTCTCCAGTGTCTACATCAAACCCTGCCTGGGGACCAGCTGCGGGGTTACTCCTCGCCCCAATCCTCCACCAGGAGCCTCAGGAATTCCAAAAAGTGCTGGGATTGGGCATTTCAGCCCAGCTCCCGGGTTTGGCCGTGTGAAGATGCGTGTGGGCTTGCACAGGAGTGTGTGTGCCCGGCTGGCTGTGCACGCGAGTGTGTGCGTGTGGGGGGTGCCGGGGGGTGCCCGGGGGTGCCGGTGGGTGCTCGGTGTGCCCGGTGGGTGCTCGGTGTGCCCGGTGGGTGCCGGTGGGTGCTCGGTGTGCCCGGGGGTGCCGGTAGGTGTTCGGTGTGCCCGGTGGGTGCT